GTACTTCTTCATGCAGATGTGAATTCATACATTCAACCTGATAACAAAAGTTTATGTAAGTGTGAGCAGATGTCCATTGTGAAGCTATTCCTGTCTGCAGTAAAATGTATTTCTGACTGTAATTTTGAGTTTCTAGAAAAGAAAGGAGGATGCAGTGGACTAGTGATGAGGCAAAGGCAAAAAAGCACTACAATATCAAAGACATACATGAGCTATCTATTAAAAATATAAGTTATATTTTGTTGTTGTTGTTAAGTGCCATCAAGTTTAATATGACTTATAGAAACCCTATGAACAACAGATCTGAACTCTATCCTATCCTGTGTCATCCTTATCATCTCTGATACACTTGATTCCATTGCAGCACATACTTTGTCAATCCATCTCGTTGAGTGTGTTCCTCTTTCACTGACTCTACACCTTTCCAAGCCTGATGTCCTTTTCCAAATAATAGCCTCTCCTAACAACTGCCCAAAGTATGTGAGAAAAGCTTCACAATCCTTGCCTCCAAAGACTAGTTTGGCTGGATTTTTTCCCCCCAAGACATATGTATTTGTTCTTTTGGCAGTCCATGGGACACACAACACTCTTTTCCAACATGACAAATCAAAGGCATTGGTTCTTATTCTGTCATCATTATACATTGTCAAGCTCTCAGATAAAAGGCAGGTAACTGAAAAGATTATGGCCTGATTGGACAATTAAAACAGACTTTCAAGGGGGGGGGAAGAAGAACGAACTGGGGAGGAGGGCAGAGAAAATAGTGCAACAATGAATCTCTGTAAATGTTCATTACAATTAATAAAATTTAATAAAAATTTTAAAAAGACTATGGCCTGGATCATGCACACCTTACATCATTGCTTTGCAGTACTTTAAAGAGGTCCCTGACTCTCTCATTGCAATATGTCTTTTGATATCTTGACTGCTGGTACCCAGGGTGTTGATTGTGGATTAATGTAAGATGCAATCATTGACAACTTCCGTCTTTTCTTCTTGTCATGATGTTGCCTATCTGACCAGTTGTGAAGAATGTGGTGGTTAGCCTAAAAGTGCCTTTTTAATAGCCATTATAGTAGCCTCCTCTGATCTCTAGCTACCTTAACTGCAGGCACATAGTTTTGAAATCATTTTGGTCTTGTAGGATAAGAGAAAGAGTGCTTCCCACAGTGGGCAGCAGGACTTGAGGTGAGCAAGACTTGAGGAAGGCAAGATTGAGATCCTGGTGGCAAGACCTTGGTGATTGTAGTGGAGAGGCTATGATTGCTACAGAGAAACTGTGGCAAGGTGTAACCAGAAGAGTCCTGGGGTGAAGGCCAAAGTTAATTATTTTGCTGTTCTTGCCTTGGATGATGGAAGGAAAAACTGCTTGCTGAACTGGAATCTGGACTAATCGAGGAATTATGTGTTGGGGACAGCTTACTTAAAACTTGAATTTGCATTAGGTGATATTCTTTGCCTCTCCAACTCTCCAACTTATTTCCCTAAGAAACCTCATTCTCAGTATACAGTTGAGTGTCTGCGAGTCAACAATGAATAAAAAAATTTCTTGCTGCAAGTGAGGCACTACATGCTCCATGGGCTGGGTTACAGGCTCTTTATCTTCTTTCTGTTCTGGGGTGGTGAGGGGCTGTGCTGGTCTTACTCCCTCTAGCCCTTTCAAAGAGATGTTCACAGCCCTGTGCCCCTATGTCTGATTTTCAGCTCTTTAGAAAGAATTTCGTCTTCTTGATGCTGAGATGCAATCCATGTTGACTTGCAGTCTTTGATCTTCTACAAACAAGTGTTTCACGTCCTCCTCACTTTCAGCAAACAAGGTAGTGTCATCTGTATAATGCAAGTTGTTGACGAGTCTTTCTCTGATCTTGATGCTACATTCTTCTTCCTAAAGTGCAATTCTTTGAATGATTTATTCAGCATACAGATTTAACAAGTATAGAGAAAGGATATAGACCTGACTTAAGCCCTTCTTGATTTTAGATTGTGCAGTGTTCCCTTGCTCTGTTTGGACAATAGCTTCTTGGTCTAGATATAAGTTTTGTGTGAGCATAATTAAATGTTCTCAAATTCTCACTCTGCTCACTGTTAGCCTTATGTTATATAATCACTATTTATTAAGTTCCCTGGTAAATAGATCTCTAGTGGAAATAAGGTCATTTCCCAAGAAAAGATCTTTATCTACATGAAGCTATAATTTTTTTTTTTTTAACCATAGCGTATTGGGCTGGGTCCTCTAGAGAAACAAAACAAGTGGAGTTTTCTGTGCATATTTATGTTGTATTTATGTCCTGTCAAGTTGAGACCAACTAATAACTGACTCCAAAGCAGCCTTTCTAAGTTACATGGAAGGAGATTATTCATCTTTCTTCCAGGGAGATGCTAATGGATTTGAATCACATGCCTTTGCAATGGCAGTACAACTCCTTACCACTAAGCCATAATGCTCACATGTGTGTATCTATATATTTATGCACACAACACCCACATATATTGGTCTCAAGGAAATGCTCATGCAATTGTAGAGACTGTGAAGTCCTTCTGTTTGTCAAACGTCAGATTGGAGACTCTCCTCACGTAAATTCAGGGGCCAAGGAAACCAAAGTTAGCAGGTAAGAGAGCAGGCTGATAACTCAAGGCTGTGGAAACTGATGAATCCCAAGAACAGCGGACAATACAGCAGGCCACTTCCTTAAGTACAAGGAGCTGGAAGTTGTTTCCTGAGCCAGATACAGGACCGGATTGGGCAAAAAATCTAGAACTTTGCCAGAATGTCCATATATGTTTGATGCAGGCCACATTCCTGAGGAAACTGTCTTTCAACTGCTTGGCAGCTCCTGGCTGATCTCATCATAGATATGATATATCAGATTTCATCGTGGAAGTGGTTATATTATTTCAGATCTCATCAAAGACTACATCATAGTCACCAAACCAGAGAATTGTGGCCAATTAACTTGACACTCACCCTTAAACCATTATACCAGGATTGGATCTACAGCAAGTAATATTAGGTCAATGTTACTCACCCAAACAGAAACTCAGCATCTTGAAAGTTAGGAACTCAGTCCATGCCAGGCAGATTGTCTCTGTAAGGAATCTAGTTTTGGGCTTTGCCCAACCTGGTAAGTCAGCTGGGAGGAGGTAAGCTAGAAGGTTCTCTAAATTCTGGTGCAAGGGCCACCATGTGGAATGGATGTAATGGAGCCTCATGCACTACAATGAATGAGTGAAAGAAGCAGAGAATAAAGACCCATATCCCACCAGAGAAAGGAATTAGAAGAAGAGAGAGACAGAGACAGAAAGGCAAGGAAAGATGGAGCAATAAAGAAATAAATGTATTGCTTAATGATTTTTTTAAGTCCTTGAAATCTTGTTATTAGCCTGCAATTAGAGCACTAGTGGAGTAGAACATAAAGAGTTGTGGTCGTAACCTTAAATATGCAACTCCCTGGCAGTTCGAATCCACCACTGGCTCCAAAGAAAATGATGACCAATCTCCTGCTGAGTATTTTATAGCCTTGGCAACCCAGTAGAGGGTCAACTGTGAGTTAAAATGAATGTAAACGTCATGAGTTTGAGTTTTTCAGCGTCTCCTGTTAATAATAATTGGCTTTTAACCTGAGTGAGAGTTTTTAAGTAATAGTTTCTGAGTCTTAGTAATTAAATAGGACCATGTTACGTCATCAACCATGGGATATTGGGTATTTGCAGCAACTTGGAGGACTAGGCCAACTCAGAAGCAATATCAATTAGCTGACAATAGTCAGCTGTCGACCAATATTTTGAAAACGTACTTGGTGCTACCTTCCTGGAATGAGCAGTAGGGAGGATAAAGATGACATACAGTGGACCTTACTTTAAAAAAGTCATTGTTGTTCTGTGCTGTCAGATTGGAACCAATTGACCTGCTTACCCTCCAGCAGGTTTTTAGAGGGAGTAGATCACATGGGAGGAGATTGCTCATCTTTCTCTAGTGGAGCATCTGGTGGGTTTGAAACTGATGTGTTCCTTTGGGATTGTTGAACAGCTTCTTACCACTAGGCCACTGTGGTTTAGTGTTATGCATTTAAGATTCATTTTAGGAAGCAAAGTTAACATCAACAGATGCAAATATAAGACACCACAAAACTACACTGGAAAACAAATGTCAAAGGGAACAAAGGTTTAGAAAAGTGAATACTTTAAGGAAGTAGAAGACTGAATGTTTACTTGGGAAAAATGGTCAGGATTTGGGTCTACTGAGAAGAGTGGAGATGACTGGGGTACTTGTCACATAATGAGAAATGATGGGTGGTGGGTAAAGCTGTAGAAATATTTGAAGTAGGGGCTATGATTTTGGAGAATGGTTAGAGGTTAAGGCTGGTCGGAATTTTAGAGAAAGCTCTTCCGGTCTTTGAAAATTTCTCCTCAACCTGCCACTTTCAAAACCACATTTGAGATTCTTTCTTTAGCAACATTCCTCAGTCCTGAACCCATGTCCTATCCTCTTCATCTGTCTTCTATTTTTATATTATTAATTTAAATAATTTCTTATGACTTTTTTTCTGGGAAAACACATTGCAAGAAGAAAAATGATGGTACAGTTGGGAGATGGCCCATCTCTCTGAACCATGAAGTTCTTCTATGAGCTAAATAATCCAGGTGATTCTTCCTGACCACAGTACTTCAGGGATGACCTTGACTCCTCAGCCAAGCATTGGATGCAGCTCATGATCCTCCTCCTCAACTCTCTTCTCCAGAACTTTCAAAATTTGAGAATTTCATAACTTAAGAATTTCCTAATCTAAAAAAATAAGAATTTCCTAATCTAAAAAAGCTAGAACCTCTTTTGGTAGATTTCCCTCAGTTAGTGTTTAACCAATCATCTGTCCTATCAGGAGAACAACTGAACTGTGGAAAAACTGACAGTGGGAGACTCTGGGCAGCTTCTGAAGGTCAATCACTTGGCCTCTGCAGGAGAGGACAGGAGGGCAGAGGATTCAGCACAAGAGTGAAACACAATGGAATCTGGCTTCACCACCAAGGATATTTATTTGAGCCATTTTAACCCTCGGGATTACCTAGAAAAATATTACAATTTTGAGTCTAGACATTCTGCAGAAAATCAGATTGTCAGATATCTTTTGGAAAATCTTTTCAAGATATTCTGTCTGGGTAAGTCTATCTATTGCCTGTGTGGCCTCCCTGGGATGTGAGACCCAGAAGATGATGGGTTTATGTCCAGTCATCATTATTGACAAACCCATTGGCATTTTCTATTTATTTAAGTAAGTCTTTTTTTTTTTAAAGTAAGTCTTTTATGGTTTACAAAGTGCTTTTGTAGTCATCTTTCCAGTTGGTCATGACAATGGGAATTCAGAGGCCCCATGTTTTGGCTCTGATTCTTCATTGACTTGAAGAAAACAAGTTGTTGAACCTCTTTTTTAGCCACTTATAAAATCTGAATATTTAGTCTGTTTCTAACTTAAAAATTTTGAATATGCATGAGATGAAGACCTCCTAGTATGTAATAACCTGAGTGGTTTTTGGAGAAAGACATTTAATAATGTAATTTGGAAAATTTAACTTGCCCCCAATACATTACTTAATAGTTTTAATATTATTTTTGAGCAGACTCTCTGAACCAAGTGTTTGTATTCCAGATGTGGATCTTTCCACCTACTCACCCCCTTTAGATCCTTTAACTGTCCCAGCAACTTGCATCCATCCAGGATGGGGGAATGGGAAAAGAAAAGGCTTTTCAAAAAGGACTTTAGGTGAGAGGGAGTGAGTAGAGAGGTGATTTGACTTTAGGATCTCTAGCACAATCCCAGGGAAGACCTTGGATGGAGGAAATGTCCTCAACCAACAAACATCTGAGCTCACTTGCTCTTCTCTCCTCTGAACCAGACGGCGTGAGGGGAGACCTCCTGATTGACATTGGCTCTGGCCCCACCATCTATCAGCTCCTCTCTGCCTGTGAGTCCTTCAAGGAAATCATTGCCAGTGACTACAGTGACCAGAACCTGCAGGAGCTGGAGAGGTGGCTGAAGAAGGAGCCTGGTGCCTTTGACTGGTCTCCAGTAGTGAACTACGTGTGTCATCTTGAGGGAAACAGGTAGATGAACCGGGGTCGGCTTCCTGGCTTGCCAAGGGTGCTCCGAAGTGGTTAATTTTTCGAAATCAAGAATTATCTTCAGAGTTCAAGTAGGAAAAGCACAGTGAGATCAAAATGAAAGAGAGATCCAAGTGGAGAACATGAAAGGTAGAAAGAGACAGAAAGATTAAAACATACGTGGGGGGGGGGCGGTTTGCACATACACAATCACGATTTCTCAAAAAGTTAGAGATAAGAGACATTTAATTAGAGATTGAAAAATTTTAAGAAAGAGGTGTATGAATTTTATATTTTTCTATCTCTCCTCCCCTTGATTTAATTTTCATATGAATTCTCTGTATGCCTTGCCCATATCCCAAACTCACTTTCTACTATAATTTCTTTCCCTCTTTGCTTACACATTGTGCACTCTGTATTTCTCAATGTTCTTTACATTCTTTGTGTTTCTTTTTCTGTATTTTCATTTACCACAGGGAAAAGTAAGTATTCTCATTAGCATATGATTTCCTGGCAAGACAATTTCTATCAAGGAACAAATACTGGTGCTTTTTTGGCTCATGTTGAAAATAGCTTGTATTCATTTATTTAGTAAACCTCTCTCTATAATGTGACACATTACGAGCTGCTCAGATAGATGAGGAGGAGTTCCAGGGCGCAGTCCATAGGGAGTTACGCTGCCCAAAGCCCATGCTTCTCAGGCAGCTAGAATCCACCAGGGGTTACTCATAGAAAACGGTGGGCAATCTCCTCCCATGCAATATGTGCCGTGGTTGTTATGTACCATCGAGTCAGAAATGACCCAAAGCTGTCACTCCAATGGATTTTCAGAGACAGTTAATCATATAGTAGAAAATTGCCCATCTTTATCCTTTGGTGCAGCTGGTGAATTTGAACCACTTGCCTTTGATATTGCAGTACAGCTTCTTGCCACTAGGCCACCAGCGCTCCCTCCCATGCAATATATTGTTGTTTTTGTTGTTGTGTTGTTATGTGCCATTGAGTCACTTGCAACTTAGAGTGACATTACGTGCAACAGTTCTAAAACCTGTCCTATCCTGAGCCAATCTCATTGCCTCTGACAGACCAAACCCCACTTCTCCAGTCACTGAGTCAATCCATCTTGTCTTTGATCTTCCTCTCCTGTGCTGTCCTTCCACCCTTCCAAGCATGATGTCCTTCTTCAAGAACTGGTCCCTCTTGACCATGTGCCCAAAGTATATGAGACAGAGCTTTAAAATCCTTGCCACCAAGGAACAGCTCTGTTTCACACTCTCCAGATCTGACCTGTTTGTTCTCCTGGCAGTCCATGGTATATTCAACACTCCAGAACATTTGATTGTGCTAATGCGAAACCTATACTTGGACCAGGAGGCAGTCGTCGTAACAAAGCAAGGAGACACTACATGGTTCAAAATCAAGAAGGGGGTGCGTCAGGGATGTATTCTGTCTCCATACCTTTTCAATCTGTATGTAGAACAGATCATCTGAGTTGCTGGGCTATACGAAGAGGAATGTGGCATCAGGATTGGTGGAAGAATCATCAACAACCTGCGTTATGCAGATGACACAACCCTGCTTGCTGAAACTGAGGAAGACCTGAAGTGCTTGCTGCAGAAGATCAAGGACTACAGCCTCCTATATGGACTGAAGCTAAATGTCAAGAAAACAAAGATTCTAACCACTGGGCCAATTGGCAGCATCAGCATGGATGGTGAGGAGATTGAGATAGTTAACAGTTTTAATTTACTTGGCTACACAGTCAACGCTCTTGATAACAGCAGCCAGGAAATCAGGAGATGAATTGCATTGGGAAAGTCAGCTGTGAGGGACCTCTCAAGAGCACTAAAGAGCAACGATGTCAGGTTGGAGACTAAGGTGCGCCTGATCTGGGCTATAGTCTTCGCAATTATATGCTATGCATCAGAGAGTTGGACAGTGAATAGGGCTGATAGAAAGAGGATTGATGCCTTTGAGCTGTGGTGCTGGAGAAGAGTGTTGAATATATACCATGGACTTCTAGGAGAACAAACAGGTTTGTCCTGGAGAGGGTGAAGCCAGAGTGTTCCCTGGAGTCAAGGATTCTGAAGCTTCATCTGACATATTTTGGGCATGTTGCAAGGAGGGACATCATGTTTGGCAGAGGGGAGGGGAAGCGAAGGAAAGGAAGTCCTTTGGTGAGATGGATCGATTCTGTGACTGGAGCGGTGGGAATAAGTGCTTTTGAGATGGCTAGGTTGGCACAGGATAGAACAGCATTTAGAGCTCTTGTACGTAGGGTCGCTATGAGTCGCAAGTGACTCGATGGCACATAACAACAACAACAAGTCATTTTCCAGCTCTCTGATGCATAACAAGCAATTTCAAAGACCATGGCCTAAATCAGGTGCACCTCAGCCTCCACACTGACATCGTTCCTGACTGCTAGTGCCAAGAGAGTTGATTGTGGAACCAGGCAAGCTGAAGTTGTTAACAATCTCAATCTTTTCTTTGTCTATGATGAAGCTAATAATTGGACCAGTGATGAGAATCTTTGCTTTGTTTCAATCCATATTGAGGATATAGTCCTTGACATTTTGCAGCATATGCCTTTTGCCCTCAGTTTTGGTAAGGAAGGTTGTATCATCTGCATACACAGCCTTGGAAACCCAGTGAAGGGTCAACTATGCAACTATGAGTTGATTCATGAGTGAGTGAATGAGGGAGGAAAGAAGGGAGGGAAGGAGACAGATGACGAAGGCAGAGTTCTTTGTCTCTTAGAGTTCACATCTGGAAGGTCATTTGGGTTGGCTGACAACAATAGACACAGAAGTTTAATACATTGTTAGATGCCATTGAGTTAGATCAAACTCGTAATGACCCTATGCACAACAGAAAGAAATACTGTCCAATCCTGGACCATCTTCACAATCTCTCTGTGTTTGAGTCCATTATTGCAGCTACAACTGTATTTTGAGTGCCTTCCAACTTATAGTCTTTTCTACCTGAACTCTTTGGATCATGTTCCCTTACTCTTCATCAGATTTTTAGTTGCCTATTATTTCAGAACTAGATGGTTGGTTTTGCTTCCTACTGTCTTCATCTGGAAACTATGATGAAGTCTGTCCACCATGGAGAACCCTGTCTGAATTTGAAATACCACTGGGATCACTTCCAGCATCACAGCAACATTTAAGCCATCACAGTACAACAAATTGACAGAGTGGTGGGAGTTTAAGATGGTGAACTTCAATCCAAGAATAATGAGAAGGCATCCGAGGTATAATCAGAAGACTGTTGTGACACAGTTCACATTTATAATGATTACTCTCATAGGTGGTTAGAGAGTGAATTGGAGGAGTTGAAGGAACAAGATACAAGGAAAAGAAACTACTTAAATCCGAGTAAGAGGTGATGTCAACTTGGGTGAGGGTGATGGGGAGAAGTGGGTTGTTTGAAGGAGAATTTTTGAGATGACATGGCAAAAAAAAGTTAGCTGTTTATGGGGAACAAGAAGACTGAAGTGTCAGGGATGATTTCCATGTCTCTGAACCTGAGTGACAGGAAGATGGGAGTGAATGTTTCTGAATCCCAAGAATCAATATAAAATCATGTGGCCTTGCCATAACCCTAGGGAATGTTCTTATTGGTCTACCTCTCTTCTAGAGTGATAGCCAATCTATATTTCTAGAATTGCACTTACATTTTCCCCTCATCTATTTGTCAACTTTTGTTTATCCTTGAGAACCAATTTCTCAATTATAATTAACTCTCATGTAGGCTTCTATTTTTTTAACATTATTTTCTTTTTAAAAGAAAATTTTCTGACTTTCGGCAGCTTCCTTCTTCTCAAAGTTATTTAGAAATATTTTAAACTTTATACTTATTTTCTTACATATTATTGTTACATGGTCATATTGGTAACAAATGTGGATTACCAAATGGTGACTTATCAGTTGGTAGTATAATTCATTATAAAATAATTTCATGAATAAGCTAGGAGTGTTATATGCTGTTCCAAATGAACCCTTTTTTATGTCATAGAGTCACTAAGCTTTCCCTGGGTTTATTCTCATCATTTATCTGTGTTACAAGGCCAAGTTTCCCCAACTGTTATAAATTCTAAAAATGTCTTTAATTTATTTTATAGATATATAGATTATAAAATACACAGATCTAAGTGTTCAAGGAGCTCTGGCGGTATAGTGTGTTAAGTCTTGTGCTGTTAACTGAAAGGTTGACAGTTCGAGTCCACCAGGTGTTCTGGGAGAGAAAGACGGACAATCACAGATTTACAGCATTAGGAACCTCCTGTTGGAGGGATTCTATGAGTCAAGATTTACGTGACGACAATGGGTTGGTTTGATTAAGTGTTCAGTTTTTGCAGGTTTATTATTCACATGTAACTCCACCTGAAAAAAAGATTGAGGCTATTTCTGTCATTCCATCTGCTTGGACATTTGTGTTCCATCAGAATCTTATTTATTATTACTCAGATATGCATTATGCTCATTTTATAGGATTTTTCTAGTTGTGAATTTTTAATTTTTAATCAACTGAATAGGTCTTCAAATATTCCTTTTACAAATAATACTGAAATTGTGTATTTCCTCAGCTCATGTATGTATGCAGTGCACAATATTGTTCATGCCCCCACCCCAGAACTTAAAGATGAGTTAATTAATGACGCTGTCATATGCTGTTTTAACCTGGAAATGTTGTACTGAAAGCTTTATGCTGGCTGTAGTCTTCAGGAAAGAGCCCTGGTGGTGCACCGAGTAAGTACTTGGCTACTAGTCAAAAGTTTGATGCTTCTGATCCCCATCCACTCCATGATACAAAGACCTGTTGGTCTTCTCCTGGGAACAGTCCAGCCTAGGAAACCCTGTGTGACGGCACCACTCTACCTATAGGGAAGTTCTATGACCCTATAAGGAGGTTGCTATGAACCTGTAGGCACATTGCTATGAACCTATAGGGAGGTTGCTATGAACCTATAGGGGGGTTTCTATGAGCCTATAGGA